CACACACACACACACACACACACACACACACACACACACACACACACATATATATATATATATATATACATATACACTTATGTATTACTATTTATGTGTACATATTTATACCTATTTATATCTTTTTTTTGAATTTAATTTATTAAGTTATTTGGATATATAAACAAACGATAAAAATTAATGTATATATATATATATAACTGAGCGCCTGTATTAGTGTATACATATACGTACATATTATTATTAATTGCAACACATAAGTATGTATCGAAATAATTATCTTTGTACGACCGAATGATTGAAAAACAAAATTAAATACCACAAAATCAATATCATAATAATATATGATATAATCTTTTGTAGCTGTTCTTATACTCATACCAATATTAAACCATCAACATAACAATGAAAAAAGGATTATAATTAAAACTGACCATTATGTCTGCAATTTTTGAGCATAACTGTACGCCTGATCGTATTTGTTACGAAATCACCGTCCATAATCGATTATGAATAATAGGATACGTATGCCAAAAAAGTGTATTAATATCCACTACCAGCAAATATTCCATTATTATTCCATTATTTATTCCATAAACCATGCGGTAAATATAAGGTAATAATAAAATATTAATCTTAATTAGCAATTATTTTAAAATGTATAGATCTATACACAATGTATTCTCAGTAACATGCATGTCTATGAAAAAAAAATGTCTTCGAGTTATCAAAATATTTTTATAAATAATTAAATTAGGTATGTTTATTTAAATTCAATTTATAAAAACATGAATACAAGAAAACTTCTAATCAATGCATATTTTCCAGCCCAATTTCTCATTTATGGAAACTCATAGATGGTTATGACTGTGATTCTGAAAATACTTTTAATTGCAACGATTCCAATTGGGTCTCCAAAACAACAATATCTTCACATAGCGTCTGTATTTTGGTAATCATCGCACTATGTTCAATATCCTCGATTTTCCTTAAACAAAAACAAAAACGTTTGTTCATTATAACACTTATTTAAATCGTATTTGAGAAAAGTACATTCAATACGTCGTGTGTATCATAATTTTAAATAAGAAATTTAATATCAAATTAATTTAATTTACCTTACTGAGATAAGTTACAACTTAATGGTCTATAAAATACAATATATTTATACTAGTGTTGATATATTCATTCAATAAATATTTACCCATAAATATTATTTAAATACATAGGTAAATTACCTGGCACAACCAATTTCCTTAATGATTCCTTGATTTGAAATATGATGCATTTTTTTCCGTTCAGCACTAATTGTTTCATCGAGTTTTTTATTTTCTTTTGTGAATTTTTTTATCTCCTCGGTCAATTTTATTTGACGTTCCTTTAAATTAGTTTTTTGTTTATTATACGCCTTAAACAAAACAACAAGTTAAATAAAACAGGAATATAATTAATGTTTATAAATCATTATATAATGTTAATAGCTTACGAATTCAATTTCCGCTCTTTCTTTAACTTTTTGTTCGGCATTTTTAACCATACCTTTTGCCTTCAGCTCTTGATAGTCCAATATATTCTTGGTAAGTGTCATATGTTTAATAAATTCACAACGATACTTATACAATATTATTTTCAGCTTTTGAATATTAATATCCGACTTTATTATTTGACATTTACGTTTCATTTCAAATAAATGAGAGTGTTCACTCGCTTTAATCGATTTTTGTTTCTAAAACATACAAATGTTACAACAAAAGTTATTCGAGAGATTTTTATATTTATTACATACGAGCAGGCTCGTATTTAAAAATTTGGCGCTCTCGGGCATATAATTTATGCCCCCCCCCCCAGTGGCGTAGCCAGGTTATATTATTATATATTATTATATTATATTTTTTATATGGGGAGGGATAACCACTTTTTTTGGATAAGTAAGGTAAGAGAGGATATGAGAATTCACCCTTAACCCCCCCTCATCTACCACCAAGTTTCTAAACGTAATTCAAGCATTTTACGAGTAGTATAGTTTTAAAAATATTTATTAACATATAATTAATAATAATAATAATAATTTTGGTTTCAGTGTTCAGTCACTTGCTCCACTCTGACAGCTGCATTCTCTTAAGCGAATTTCTGGCAAATTCAGTTATTATTTCACTTTCATGGAATTGCTCTTTTTTATTTATATAAGCCATAGCTAACCCATTCAGTCTATTTTCCGACATGGTGCTTCTTAAAAAAATTTTTAAGCGAATAAGTGCTGAAAACGTTCTTTCCGGAGTGAAAGAGGTAAGTGGTAACGTGGCGAATAATTGTAAAAGTATTTTAATGTTAGGTCGAAGATTGGTGCGATGAGAGAGTGAATCAAGAGCAGAATTCGGTTTTGGAATAGTATTTTGACTCCATTGTTGCCTCCATATGAACAGGTCAGCCCTGATTGTAGGTGAAGTATCATCATGGAAATCTTGGACATATATTTTAGCAGCTTTTATAATATTTTTATCGTCATACATATTTAAATTGGCCGGAATAAGTCCTTCAAGTGGCATAACATCAATAAGCCTTTGATTAAAACGAGCATTGATTCTATTAAATAGTCAAGATACATTATACATATAAACACGGCCCATGGGGGAGGCTATAGCCCCCTTAGCCCTCCCCCTTGGCTACGCCACTGCCCCCTCCCAAAAAAAAAAAAATTAAATAATAATATAACATTTATTATTACGTCCATAATCGAGATTTTTTAATATTAAAATATAACTTAAATGAAAATCGATTAATACTCTTTTTATTTAACAAATCAAACAAATTATAACATAATAAAACATACAATTTCCTTTTTTTTAATTAACAAATTATAATATGATGAAAATACAATTTTTTTTTAATTTACAAATTAAACAGATTATTTTCTTTTTTTTTATTGTTTTATTTCTTTTCTTCATTAGGTACATAATTTTTAAAATTAATTTTACTAAAATAAATTGCCACCCCTGATACTTGACGCCCCCAGGCATGTGCCTATCCGTGCCACATCTAAATACGGGCCTGCATACAAGAATGGTTATTCTCGTATGTAAAAACATAAAAATCAATTACAACAATGAATATTATATAACATTTTACTTAATTTTTAGTTGCGTAAACAGTGTCAGTTAATATTTTGATTTTATTTTTACCTTTTAAGTATTTGTTTCTTTATAAAATTCACTAAATATAACATATTTTACTGACTTACTTCAACTTCATTCTTCCGCTCTAAACAAACATTTTTATGTATAAGTAAAACATCATCAAAATCCTCGATATGTCCTGTAAGTTTAATTTCTTCTGTGTTTCCTTTTTTCACAATCAGTTGTACCTAAACAATTTAATTTTAATAAAAATATATTTCATTAGTTTTATTTTCCCTAATATAATAGACAAATATTTCTACCTCAAGTTCATCTTTATAACGAAAATCTTGATTTTTCAGTTGAGTGATAGAAGTTTTTAACATCTTCATCATAACTGTATGGTTTTTTACATGTTGTTTTAGATTTTTTAAAAAATTAGTCTCGTTTATCAAGTCTTTTTGACAATTTATGATTTTAAATTCGTTTTTAATTTTTAAACGTCTATAATAGCAAAGTCTTTGCCATGTTTTACTATTCATACGCAGTTTTTTATTAGTTACATATTTATAGTCGTCATTCATCTTAAGTGTATTCAAATATTTAATAAATGGTGAACTCAAAAGATCTAGTTTATCATATGTTGGATCCATTATAGTATCAACAAACTGATAGCCAACTAATGATGAATAATTTGTATTGCCTAACATTTTAGGCCTTAAACTAAAAAAATTATAATTAAACTAGTAAAATTTAAAATAAATATCTAAAAGTTTAGTATATTTTACTTGTAAGCAATTAATGTCGTTTTATGGAACTTGGATTCAAATTTATTTCGGAGTTCTCGATCAGTATTCATCAACGTACTTAAGATCGTATTCACATCGTAAATATTTTCTTGTATTTTTGTGATTTTTTTTTTTAATTCCGTAAGAGTATTTTCATTTTCCAAACAATTTCGTCTTTAAATATAATTATAAAAAATTAAACAATTTTTTTCATATGAAATAGTTGCACTTACTCGAGTAATTTGATTTGTTGTTTTCTTTGATCGCTGTCATTTAATATTTTTGAAATTCTAATAATTTTTAAATACTCCTGGTTGATGGCTGAATCGTATTTAATCTTAATTTCAAAAAGATTTTTTATATTTTTATCCAATTCTTTTATGCTTTTTTTAATATTCCGATCAATTTCAATCTTTTCTTGTTCAAGAATAGTTTTGTACTTCATTCTATCATTGTTTAAAGCCACTACTGCTTCTTCATACTTAATTATTAATTTTAAATCACCTACCGTATAATCTTCAGGCTTTTTATTCAACTAAAATACAAAAAAATTGTAACACATACTATCATGTTAAATAAATTTTAAAATATTATGCAAAAATACACAACCATGCAATGAGGTTTTGGTATATCTTTTTTTAACTCATCTTCCCATATTTTCTGTAATACGCCATCCATCATATGAATAAGTGCCTGCTTCCTGAATTTTTCGACTTTTTGTGATTGTTCGTTGTTATCTTCATTCGAATGAGTCGATTTTTTTTCGTTAAGTAATAAGTTATTAAATTTCATAGCAACTTTATTATCTTCGACGTATAAAAGTCTCTCAGTTTGTTCATATTGACTCCACTTATATTCTACCGGCGAAGGTGCAGTCGATTCAACTGAACACAATTATATGTATCAATTAAAATATATCACCAATTATCATTATCCATATAATACTTTTGCACGCTAATCTCAATTCGATTTCAATCACACGCAATCTATTATTAAATCCATTCAATTTATCTAGTATTTGTTGTTTATCGACGAACAAATCATCAAATAATGAATTGAATTTGAGCTTCAATTTGCTGATTATGAACTAGTTGTTGATTACATATGCATTTTAATAAAAAAAACATTTATAAAACTATAAAAAACCAAATAATTGTGTTTACGTACTTCAAGTAAAATCATTTCATCTTCAGCTATATCCAATTTATAATAATCGTACTGAGAATATAAACACTCAATAGTTTCTATTAACTCATGACTTATTGATCCTTTATATTTTTCTCTAAAAAAAACATAATCTTAACATTTAATTGATACATAGTTAATTTTATACATTTTTACTCGAATGATAGTAAGTTAGACAAAGATCTCTTATTTATTATCCGAGTTGATTTATTGATAATTTCTTGGTCTTCTTTACTAATTGAATAATTATTTACCTTATATAAATCTTTGATACACTAAAACAAAATTTAAAATGTTTTTAAAATATATATTTTAAAATATATTTGTGCATACATGTATAGATTTTGGTTTAGCAATTAGAGGATCCCAATGTTCTTTAATTATATTTTCCTTTTTCATTTTACAAATATTTGTATCACTTATCATTCTGGCTTCGTACTCGTCACGTTCAACTCCATAATTTTGGTCAAACCATAATCTATATTCATCATCATCTATATAAAATTCTTCTTTATCTAATCTCTCATCTTCTGGTCCATTCTGGTTCTCTTCGTACAAAGCTAGTAACTACAATAAAATCATTCAATAGACACTTAAATTAAATTCTATCTATTTTAAAGAGTAAAATTAAATAATATTTGGAAAAAGTTTTTTTATTACATTCTTTTTTATTTTTTCAAACTCTTCGCTTAATTGTTTTTTTTTTTTCGATCTGTGCATTCCATTCATTTGTTTGCTTGATCATTGTCCAAGTTATTCGTTTAGGACCTAAGATAGAACAATATAATTAATTAATTAATATTAAATTAATTTAATATATATAAATTAAATAGTATCTAATTTAATTATTAATATTAAATGTTTACTCCCTGCTTCATTTTCAAAACCAATTCCTTTCGTTTTCATAATTTTTATAATTATTGGTGAATCTATTTGATAATTTCGTCTTATATGATGACACGAATCCCTAAAATTAATTATTCCAATATTTTATTTATTTTTTTTACTTTTGGTGAAATATACTTAAAGCTTGTGCACATCAAGTTTCCCTCACGGCTCAATGTTAATATATTACGGTAGCTGCTATCAATTTCTGCGGCCATCAATCCTCCAGTTTGCCAATGACTGCAATTTACCCTTATAATTTTCTTCCACTGATCGTCATCAGTAAACTCGTAAACGTTATATGTACCATCGTTACAAAATGTAATACAATGTTTTTTCCATGAAGATATTTTAATAACTCTCACATCATGATCTAACGGTATAATTTTTGACCTTAATACTTTTTCCTAGAAATAAAATACACGTTCAAAGCCACTACATAAATAATAACAATATCATAAATACCGTCATACTGCATTCAACATACCTCAACAATGTTTATAGTCATCAAATGAATATGAAAAGACTTTAACACAGTTAAAGCTATATTGATTGTACCGGGTATATCAAATGAAATCCATTTAAAAATTGATGTATAATTATGCTGTGTATTTAGTAATTTAAAAACAATATCGAAATTTTTATTAAATATCACTACATTGTTGCCAGCAACTTCAGAGATTTCTTCATGTTCTCTGTATAAAATGGTCAAAAGCGACGATTGTTTATCATCGAATATTTTAGCATCAATAATTTCCTTTTTCAAGTGATATTCTTTTATTATGGAACATGTTTTTTCCAATTCAATCTAATAAATATTTTTAATTATTGTTTAACCATATAGCAAAATAACAATAGTAAGTAATTATGAAAACTCGTTTTAAACGCATCACAAATTCAATAACAATAACAATATTATATATTAATCTAACCCTGCAGTTGTCTTTATATAAATATTATGTATGTGTGCCTATTGAAAGATTGAAAAATAAATCATCCACTAAATTAAATAAATATAATGAAGTTCTATAATCAACTCACCCTGATGTGATATAATCGACCAGTTGAAAAATTCGTGGCCAAACATTCTTTTCCGTCGCTAAAAAAATTTACACAAGATAGTTCTTCATCACACAACACCATTTTTGATATAAGTTCTACGTCAGATTCATTGGGATCAGTTTTCAGTAATTCCACTTTGCCGTTTTTAAACGATACCGCAACATAGTAATAACGTGGATTACTACATACATTTGTCGCAATGCCATTCAGTTCCATTTCACATCTCTATAAAACAACAATAAATAACAAACAATTAACCACACAATAAAAAACACCTTTAATGTAACCATTGAACCAATATTAAAAATGTTTTTACGAATTTTCCAGTCGAAACGTCCCACACTTGCAATACATTTTTTTCATTAATTGTGACAACTAGCAGGTCCGTCGGCTTAACGAATACAAAATACTTGATATTATTTCCGTAATATTGTAGTATTGTAATTGTATTGAGTTTTGTATTCTTCATACATTTCAACAAAATCCCCTCGAAAAAAAAAAAAATAAATAAAGCTAAAAATATCGTGCGCAATACTTGCATATTTTGTATATCTTCTTAAAGAAATTTTAATCTTTGTGATGCAGTTGATACGTAATTATATTTCATTTTCACATGAATTTTTATTTTGTATTAAAAAATTATTTCATGATATGCATATAGTCACTATACTGTCCATTAAAAGAACAAAAAAGGTGGTAAGAACATTCAATTTTAAATTATCCGCGTCAATTATGTTTATCAGTTAGTATATATAGATACAGCCGGTTAAAAATGGGACTAGGTGAAAATGAAAGTAAAACATTATAAAAACTAAAATCTCACAAAAATAAAAATAAAACAAATCTACCTCGAGAATACTTTGTTTATATTAATAAATAATATGTATCACCTCGTCCGACCAACCGTAAAAATCGTTGTCACCCGCCAGCACAACACTCTGCAACATGTAGTTTAAAATGATTGTCCAGGATTTCACAAAAGCGCCTTTAACTTCATTGAAACCCTATAAATACTTTACAGTTAATGAAGACCTTATAACAGTAAATGATCTTAGATCGAGGAGTCGCAGGAAGACTTCGTTCGATTATTTAATCAGTTACAGAATACCAACCCTTATACCAGCATCCATCATCAATTATTAACAACCTCTTCCAAAAAAAAAACCTTCTATACACTAGATACTACTGCGAAACACCCGATTCATGTGCGATACAAAATTATAATGAACAGTGGTGAACCCAAAAACATAGGAGTTAAAATTATTTTTACCATAAAAATTCCCTCGGGAAATAACATACAATATTTGTTTTGTTAATTGTGTTTATTAGATACCAAATGTATAAAATTAACAAAAAACCTTATTGCAAAAAAAAAACTGAAATTGTTAACATCTAAATGAATGCTGATTAAACTAAGAATCAAAAATTCAAATTAATTAAAATATATGATATTATGTTGAGATGATATTACGAACCGATTAAATTTAAACTGTTAAACCGTATGATGCGCAAAACTAACAAAATAACGGAGAAAAGATAAAAAGAAAATGATCAAAGATGATAAATCATCAAAAACACCGAATAAAAATTTCACCGTAGACAGGTATCGGGTATTAAGCAAAACGAGTTGTGCACTTGGAAAGCGCATTGTTTCAGATCGACCGAAAAGAAAAAAAATATCATCACTTTGCGTTAATAACAATATATTCGGGTACTCGCCGTCAATCTTCCGGACACGTGCAACACGAATCCCTGCGAGCTGCGGCACAGCAACGCGCGTCGTGGTGCCGTTCCTCCGCCGTCGCTGCCTGCGTACTCAACGCACATCTCGGCGGTGGACGCGATCACGGTAGTCGGCCGTGTGCGGTACACGTTCGCCGACGTATCGCAGAACACGAACCAACCGTGACCTGTTTTGCCAGTCACCCAGCAGCACGTCCCGTGTGCCATGTCCACGCCGCGCGGCAAGTCGACCGGTGTCCGTAACGCATGCACCGTCCTGCCGCCCACGAACACCCGCCAAAGTTGCAGTCGGGCCGTCACGCTGCGCTCGGCGACACTCAACAGCACGTCATGTCCGTCGTCAAATACACTGCAGTTTCGTCAATTTCATTTGAAAGAATACAAGAATTACGTTAGTAAGTAACTTCCTATTGCAATATACCCGAATGACATGATAACTTTAGTCACCGTAACGACTAGTTTCTGCTGCGGTTGCAATTCGCACACTGAACTTAATTGTCGTAGGCACTTTTGGTACCTTAATCTAATCTATGTAATTTATGTTGTACAATTTACTAATTATAGGTACCGCACGGTAACTGAACATACAAGCAAGCAACTGCGACGTTAAGTTACGATGTTTAGACGGGACTCCGCGGAGCACGTCTCCAAAAAGAAACCGGATCACTATTATTATAGGCGCAGAATAAAATTTAATACATTTATTTTTAGACAACTATATGCCATACAAATAAAAATATTTGAATATTTAAATAATAATACGAGTCAAGTAATTATTGTAACCTGTATTATATTTTATTTTATTTAGTATAGACGTGGTATATTTATTTTTATTTTAAGGGAGGCTTGAATGAAAATAGTTTGAGAACTTCTAATGTAGGGTAACATGTCGGTAACAAATTTAGCTGTATGCATAATAGTTTTACTTAGGCAAAATATATACATATATATATATATATATAATATATGTATATTATACATATATTGTGGAAGTTTTAAATGAATTAACAAAACAATACATTTTTTGCATATTAAAATATTAAGTAACATTTAATACTTATTACGGTTAAATTGAAATTATTTTAATTTTATTTTTTTTCGTTTAAATAATCACATGACCCGATGAGGGGAAGGAGTGTTTCATTTATTGTAATCATTATGGCTATAGTCGCGCGCACATATATATAATTCATTTTTACATGTATACACACCGATTTAGAGGGTGAGACATATATCATTATTTTTTTTTCTTATATGGGTAAGGAACACCCTAATGTATATATACATTGTTATATATGTTATATTTAATAATTGCATCGAATTCTTATTTGATCACACTCCACGTATAATAAAACATTGTATTGTGATTATCATAAATTTGATATTTTAAATCATCAAATATGAAAAAAAAATTATTAGTCATTTATTATACTAAATATATACTAAATATATTGAATGAATTATAAAATGTACTAAACTTATGTGCACACACAACTTTATGAGATTATTATTGTTATATTATTATAAATAATATTCACCTCAGAGATTGATCTGGTTGGATGTATCCGGTTTTTACGGTAAACAATTTTTCTCCGATTCTCCATGACCACACGATCAAATCGTGTGCCGGATAGTCACGCAGACCAATCAAATATTCCGTTTTAACAAACGACATGGACTTAACTCCTGCAGAGTATGGATTGCTATCATCTAAAAAATTTTAAAAAAATACTTTTTGTATTATTTATTACTTTATATTAGTAGATATGTATTAATATTCTGTGATTCGATGTTTGATCTTTTAACTGTCAATTTTTTCAACATTTATTTTATTACACTGGTATCACACCTTCTCTGGTATTCAATATTTATCATTATGTTTATCTGGAAATTTCAAATAGACTATAGTCATTCAAATGGGAGTTTATCGATTCCGCCAAATATCTGTATATATTGATTGCGCCGAATATTTTCATATATCGATTCCATCGAAGATTTATATATATATTATAATATTAAAACATTTTCGTATTTTATAAATACATAATATTGGTTCCAGCAGGTTTTCTACTAAATACTGACATAGTATATAATATTTTATTCTACTTTACAAATTCTAATTTAAAATTTCTATGCTCTACTGACAAAATATTTGTAGATGGTACATTTTATAATAGCCCAAAATATTCCCCAACTGTTTACGGTTCATATTTTTAAAAATGAATATTATGTTCCATTATCTTATTTCTTATTGCCAGACAAAATCACAAATACATACGCTACCGCGTTTAAACGTATTATTAAAACATGTTCAGCTCAAAATGTATATTTCAATCCAACTACAATTGTTGTTGATAATAATTGTTAATAATCAGTGATTATTATATGTATTATTATTATTTATTTATTCTATAAATATTTTTTTTCTTACTTAACTTCGTACCACTATACCGTCGTGCTAGATATAATATATATATATATAGTATATATAATGTAATGTGTATATAGTGATGTTACATGTATATATATTTTCGGCGGAAACGATAGCCGGCGGAATCGATGTACAAAAAATATTCGACGCAATCGATAGGTTTCTTATAGGTAAAAACACTTTCGGCGGAGTCGTTATACGCCTCATTCAAATGGGGATTCTTATATTACTTCAATTATATAACAATAATATTGTTATACCAATATATTATATAGGTATATCGTTGGTACTAGATACATAGGAAGCAACATTCTTTCCTAATATTTTTTAATTTTTTTGTTGTTGCTTACCTTTAATTGATAAATAACAATTTATAAATATAAGTTCAGATGAGTATTCCGTAATTAAGCGTCTTCTATTGATTAAATATTATAAAATATAATTTTATATCTATATGAAAAAAATTAATATAGAAAGCGGGGGTGGCCAACCCAAATGATTTTGCGGGCTACTTTGGAAATACATTACGATCCCTCGGGCCACATATAATATTATATTAGTATTTTGCCCCAACCAGGCCCTATTATTGGTACAATTTCGGACTGCACACTTGATTTTACTGCTTTAAATGAAAATTTAGTCTCGCAACTGTCTTAGAAAAAGGAATATATTACATAAATAATATATATATGCATTAAATTTTAAAAAATTCAATAATACTCATATTTCCTAGTAGTAGTTGGCTTATTATTTAATTTTTGTTTTATAGACCATAGTTCACACACGTAAAACCGTAGTGCACACTTGTACATTCGTAGTGTACATTGTGTGTCGGGGTGTACATAAAAATAGGGCCTGGCCCCAATACAAAAAGAATTGGAGTAAACATTTTTAAACAGGATTATTTATTATTACAAAATAAGTTTTGGTGTATTAATTATTTGGAATAAACAGAATGAATTATTATTGTTTTTATCACCGTATTCTGAATCAAATTTTTAAAATTTTAAATTGCCGGTACAGAAGCGCATGTGATCGAATGTAATTCGCTGCTTTTATGACTACTTGCATAACATGGTTCATCGACAATACTTGGGAATAAAGATTTTGTTGATGAATCAAACAGTTAGTTGCAATTACGTTGTTAATAATACGGATTCCGCGTTGTGCGGGCATTCCAGAATATTTTATTAGGACAAAAATACTTTTTTTTTGTAATGTTTGATGAATCTCGCGGGCTGCAAACTTTCCAGGGTGGGCCACATGCAGCCCACGGGTTGGCCATCCCTGATATAAAGCATATCTTCCTCTGACTGGGCTACGGTACTGACATCAATTAATGTATGGTAAGTACTTACCAATAAAAGTTACCAAAACTTTGAAGTCTGGATAACGACATACAATAACCTTCGATATTGGTGGTTGTTCAGCCAAAGCAAGTAAATCTATGCCACAACAACCAACACATGCAACGCCATCTAAGGGTAGGATGTTTAGGTTGCCATCATCAACTGATGGTACTATTTTATTTCCACTCACTATCAAAATATTTTCTTTTTGTGTTTTCACATTATAAAATAATAGCATCTTTCCAACGTGTATCAATAACACATCTTCAGACACAAACTTTAATTCTCGAACATTCTTGGGTTTTAACCATCTACAGAAAAACAAATGTATTTAAATGGAACGATAAACACTTATATTTTAGACAAACGTTTGACCAATGAATCTCACAAAATTTAGAAATTTTATTTTTATATCTTCAACATAATTTTTAAATCTGCAGATTTACCTTACAGACATACATTTGTTTGCTACACATGTATAATGCTCTGATGGTTCATGAATTTCTTCCCGATCGACAGAGTTTAAAACAGAATTTTCTCTCAAATCGTCCATCATTATTAAGTTGCAATATAAAGTCCTTTAAATCAATTAAAATTAAAAAATACAAGTGGTGGATTTACAGTGATCTGGACCACCTACAAACGTCAAACAAACATAATGAACAATAACTGTCAATATTTTAAATTAATATATCAACCATACTAGGTATATCTGTGTATGTGTACGCTAACGTGAAACATTTATATGCGCTATCGTGTAAATGTGAAAAAAAAACATATTTTTACTCGCATAAAAACAATTTTTATGTAATTAACTATGTTGTAATAGATTCGTATTGTTTTCTTACAAGATTAATATAAATTCAAATTAAATAACAGATGTTTTGTTTTTTGGAGTTTAATTTTTAAATCAAATAAATAATATCCATAGACCATGCTGTTAAGTAGTATTATTTTTCATTGTTGAATTTTTATTGATGTAGAATTTTTACCCTTCTGGCGATTTCAAGGTCTCTTTAAAAAGCAATAAACCAATTTTCGCAGTTAGATACAAAGAACACGCCCTCGTTAAAATTTATTATAACCAAATCCAACCTACAAAGTACCGCGAAACCATCATCGAACGACAGTGTTTCTCAATATACTACAAAAATTATCTACAATCTCTAAAATGTTACGCCTGGGGATAAATTCCTATCTCCCTCTCCGTAGTTCCACCACTGCTCATAATTTAAAATTTTTTAAATAGTTTAATATTATTTTATTTACTATTTACTAAATATCCTAATTTCTAAGTTCCTTTATCTATAATATATATCCCATAGTTATAACCAGGGTTCGAGATTTATAGCACTTAAAATTATTAAAATAAGCACTTAAAAACATCATTATAAGCACTAAAATAAGCATTTAAAAAATTTAAAATTAAGCAAAAATATTAATTCAAAAAAAAAAAAAAAAAACTACAAAATTCTAACTAAAAAATCAAACAAAATAAAAATGAATCTTCACTTTCAAGACTTTAAGGATTTTCTAAGATATTTTTCTGAAAAATAAAATGTGAACTGTGTACTCTCTGTTCTTGATCATTCTAACATTTGACACTCAGTTCCATTTTCAACGTCGGAACATCATTGTTGCGACGAACTACGTGACAACATAGATAAGAATTATATTTAATTTTAATTCCATCAAAAACGACTTTGCAGGAGAAAACTATAAGAACGTATTAAAAAAACTGGTCAAATAAGCAAAAATAATCAGAAAAACTGGAAATAAGCATTTTTTTTAAAAATTGCTGAAAAAAGCAAAAAAGGCACTTTCAAATTTCATAATTGTACGTGTTATAACTTGACATACACTTATACACTATAGCACTCTGCTACATTTTAAGACAATCCATAAAAATAAGCAAATGCTTTAACTCCCGAGCCCTGCTTATAACATTAACTCTAATTGTTTAAAAATGAGTCTTAACCACTTAAATAAATGAATGTTTTAAAGTAAGTTTTAAACATTTTAAACAATGTTGAAGATGTTATAAATAAATTATTTAAAACATTTTGATTTCAACATAACAACTCTGCATATTACTTATATGCTTTATAACAAAAAATACAGATATCATTATATTGTTTTGATGCTAAATGAGAGTTGTTACTTTGATGTTGCATATTATAAAATAAGACACTATGAATTATAAACGTCAATACACCTCATGTAATTTTTGTGTAGATTTTCATTCTGGCATTCGATAAGACCACGGCTCTATTTTTGGTTTGTTATCTCGCCGACTTTTTGCCAACATGGTGACACATGGAAGTCCGATATTTAAATATAGAAAATAATAAGTGAGTAAAATATTTTAAATAAAATAAAATTCTAAAACCTTCTGTTGCGAATAAATTATCTCATATAATCAAAAATAATTGATTATACGAGTTTATCAAGTTCCATTTCTACACCATTTTCGACGGCTGCATCCGAATTAAGTGTCGAATTTAAAATTACTACACTAGTTGGGTCCCGGATTTTTATAGGTACTACACTAGTTGGATCCCGGATTTTTATAGGTACTACACTAGTTGGGTCCTGAATTATTTTAGGTATACACTAGTTCCTGAATATTTTTTGGTAATTACTAAATTATACAAATTATACTAACATTTTCCTTGCCATTTTAACAGATTTAAAACTGTCTATGATCTATTTAGACCACAGGTATGGTCAAAAATGTTTTTTATAGTTTTTTTTTTTTGTTTTTAGTTTCTTTTCCATTAATTTTTATTTATATTATATAATGATTTTAAAATTTTTAATATTTTTTAATTTACCTACATGGCTATAATTATATTATATAATATGTATTTTTATACTTGATTTTTAGAATTTTTAATATTTTTACCAACACAATTATAATTTATATTTTAATGGAAAAGAAACTACAATACAAAAAAAAACTATAAAAAACATTTTTAACCATACTTGTCGTCTAAATAGATCATAGGCAGTCCTAAATCAGTTAAAATGGGAAGGAAAGTGTAAGTATAATGAATTACTTACTAAAAAATATTCAAAAACTATTATAATACCTAAAATAATTCTGGAGTCAACTAGTGAAGTACCTATGAAAATGTGGAATCCAAATAGTGTAATACCTAAAATAATTCAGTACCTAATTAATGTAGTATCTATAAAAATCCGGGACCCAACTAGTACACTACCTGCGATTAGCCCCTTTTACTCAGAACCTAACTCGGATGTTCCGTTTTCGACTATCGCATACTGATGAAAATATAGAAAAAAAATTTATTACGAAGAAATGTTTGAATAAATTCAGAGTATAAAAGGTACAAAATATTCCAACTTGTAATATTTTTAGTAGGCAAAGGAACAACTAAATATATTTATGAAATATAAGTTGAATATATGTATTATAAATTATTTCATATCTTGAAACTTGAATTTATATAAATTGCATTAAAATAATATATAAATAAAATACGGTAAGCATTAATATCTTATCAATATTATAGTATGACAATAGTACATATTAATTTTCGGGACTCCCGCAACAACAAATTTTGAAAATCTACTGATATAGACAATGTAAATGAAAATTAAACAGATTTTTTTTTCTATAAAGTGACAAAAATTCAAGTGAATGAAATGAAAAACCTTGTTAAATATTATTATTATTCTAATTTTAAATTACTACGACTGAGAATTATGCTAACATTAATTAGGATTAAAATAAAAATGTCTGTTCTTACCTCGTGATGATATAACATTCAAAATTGTAAAATATAAATGGCATTGAAATAAGTAATGCTTGTGACTATTATTCTGATAAACATACATGGATGTATCATGTAACCACAGAATATGTTTTAACTTATATTAAGATGTAACCGCAGGTTTGTACATAAAGGAGTCCCAATTGTCAAGATCTATAAAGAAGTCTTATAAAGTCTATAAAGAAAAATAAATCTTTATTTTTTTAATTGATAACACTAAATTATCATTTTTTCTTTGTTAGAACTTAAGAATCCAGTACATTCCTTGCTTGTTATTTAATCCTAATCTAAAACTAATTTACATGTAGGACATTATAACGGTTTAGAAAAATACATTTTTGAATATTTTTGACCATTTATAAATGTATTACAAAATGTAGGGAATTTAACTGGGATCTTAAATATTAGTATGAAATTGGCCGTGATAATAAATACAATTAAAATATAAATAAGCAGATCGAATCAAAAATTGATATTCATTAATTTGTCCAAGCAATGAAATAATCATTACAAAAATTTTAAAAAACCTTTTATCAACCAGTGAAATACAAATCTATGCTTCTTGCTAGGTATTTTTAAACATCAGATACATTAGTTTATAATATAATTTATTAGCTTCTAAAAATTTTCCTTTGAAATTATAAGTGTCTTTCCTAGTAATATCTTTTAAATATTAATGTAGATCAATTTCTATAAATATTTTAATGTTAAAGAAGCAAGTTTTTATACAAGTGTCTAAAATGGTGTGGAATTTAACTATAGTATCTTGGGAAAGTGTTTGTTACTAATATTAAGTCAGGTTTTTTTTTTATCGTCCATTATAATTATTTACAATCTGTACTAGGGTGCACAATAAGTAATATTTTAAGCTATATAATATAAAATAATGATAAAAGACCTAAAAACCCTTCACATTAAAAATACCTGAACATGGGTGATCAATTTTATGTAGGTGTGCATCAAAGATTGAGTAGGTCCCTAAGAAATTTGCATTTGAAGCATCTTACTGGATTTTCTGGAAGATGGTTTGAGTCAAAGGAGTAAATAGTTCAAATTTGTAGGGGGCTCAATTATTCTTAATAACCATGACTTTTTACCAAGTTTTTCCTTCACAAAAGCATTTCATATGCATCACTTAGTATAGAAAACAGTAGTGTAACATACTTCTTAATTTTTTGTGCAGCATTTTCCACAATCTTTATCCAAGAATAACTGAGAATATAACCTTACAATATGTTATGTAAATAAAAAAAAACATGCATGTATACAAATATTTCCATTCACTAAATTACCTCAAGTAGAAAATTATTGTTCTCTGAAACAAATTTGGGAGCTTTTAACTTTTAATTTTCCATCAAATCAGTTATCCAATTAAGATTTCACAGTATTTTGAACAGAATACTCAGTAGCTGATATAGCATTTCCTTATCTTGGCTCACTATTAAACTTACACCTTTTTTATATAGTGATATAGATGATGTTAATAAAATATAGTATTCAAACATTTTAAAAATAAAAATAAAAATATAATACACTAATGACATGTCACATTATGATCTTCAACAGTTATCATTTCAAAAAATATACTTTGTTTTAAAGTATTTCATGTAAGATAAGTTAGCAATCCTACATTTGTTTAAAATTATAATTCAGTTATCGTTTAATAAAATACTTAATAAGAGTTTATACAAATAATACATCAATTTGATACACATATTTTTTACATAAATATTAACTATAGTATTAAAACTAATTAACACACTTACATTATATGTTATATTAATGTTCATTAAACAATTTGGAAATATCACTAGGAAGGGAAATAATTACTACTTTACTTAAGCAGGGACTATGTTTATTCTTTTCAACTCATAAGTATTATATAAAACCTACTTAAATAAATATTTAAGAAAAGTTAAATAAATAACTTAACAGACAGTATTGTTACCTAAATACTAGATAAATATCACAACAGTAAATTTATTATTCTCTGGTTGTATTTTATACATATAATAACTGTTTTATGATACTTAATAAATTATCATATACTTGAAGTGAAAGATTCCAGATCTTTTATATTTGTCTCAAAAACTTAACTGTAAATAAACATTTACATTGAGTCAAAAATTTGTATACGGCCTGAAGAACGAAGTCCTCGCACATTGTTTTGTTCTAGTGGTATTTTAGACCCATCATTACACCATTGACTATGAGTAAATTTAAACCTATATAATTAAATATATCTTATTAATACAATCACCTACTTTGATAAATATAAAACATTATTTTCAATTACTTTCAATTAAACAAATAAAATAAAATTAGTAAATATATTTTCATATCATTTCTAACTGAAAGACATTTATTTAAAATAATATTAAATACTTACAATTTAAGATTTTTTTTAACATGTAAATTGCTTCCAAATGCAGATACAGGTAAATTATCAGTTATTTCAATTGCCTTAATATTTACAGGATTTGGCAATAAAGTTATTAATTCCTGTTTATCTTTTTCATTAGATTTCTGCGAATGATGTTTATTGCGCCCTTCTTTCAAATATTCTATTCGTCTTAATTCCCTCAGTCGTTGCATATCCCATCTTAAGTATGAAAACATAATGTTAAAACCTTATGTAAATATATTAAAAATATCTAACAAAAATCACCTTTTTCTTTTACGTTCGCTTAGTTCAAGTCTAGAATGCCTGTTTTCAAAAATATCATCAGACATATTTTCAGTACCTTCCATTGAATACCAACTTGAGTATGGTTTAATCCTCCAACTAGGAATCTAAAAAATAAAAAATAATCATAAACAGTCAACATCTGAATATATTTTTACCTAAATTTTTATTTACTTCTAAATTACTATTAGAGTTTTCAGAAATGGGTTCATCTTTTACAGGATCATAATTTCCTAAGCATGTGTAATACGCATTATCTGCTGTGATCAAAGAAAACTCCTGCATTTTACCTGAACCTGATTCATCTATACAAAAAATAAATTTAAATCATATTTTCATGAGAAGATATGTTATCAAAAAAAAAAATACTTGATTTTGCACGAGTACTCCTAGTTCTTTGTCGTTTTATCTGGCTAGGCTCTAATGGATTGGAGTTGGGTAATTTATTGGCCACTTGTCGGTTCCTACGTCTTCTAGGTTTAACTTCTTGTAGTTCAACTGTACTCATATCACCCATACCAGATGAACATGTCGAAGATACAGGTGTAAACGGGAGTACATCTAAGGGATCATCTCTAGCTGCACTTACATTATTAGTAGAGTGTTTTTCAAATTCTTCTACTTTACGTTTCCACTACACAGAAAATAAGACATGAACAATTTTACATAACATTAGCATCACCAAAAGCGATACAATTAATAAACATTCAAATGACTAGTTACGTAATATATTTCCTCGGACATCTGTTTAATCTTTTCATTCATTTTCTTGATTTCATCAAGCGCCATATTATGTACCTGAAGGGAGACCACTTCGGAGGTGTTTGACGACGAATAGGTACCATTGTTAGTGACAGTAGCCACTATCTGGTCACCGTTACCTGTTATCTTGGACGTGGCCAGGACCATTTCGTTTTTGTCATCGAGCGCTTGCTCGCAACGGTTCACGTATCCACCTCCGCTACCGCCGTTGACCATCCGGCACTCGGCTTTTGGCATCACCACGGTGCATGCACCTCCATTACATCTGCTCGTGTTTATCATCTGACCGACTCAACAGGCACTGCACTACCAAGTTGCACTGCGAATCGCTGACACGCGATCGGCCCAGCACCACGAGAGAAACTCGGAAGCAGAAACGACCTAGCTAAGAAAACTGACCGACGGCGGAAAATGTTTGGCGGGGTGCACGCACCCGTACGATAGTAACTGGTAACAGCAACTATTACTGTGTATGCGCCGTGTACAACGTATCCGAAGGACGAGGAATTAAACGTTTTCGGGAGCACGCGACACACAAAGACGGCGAGGATGACAACGACCGACGAACTTAGGCGACTCAGGATTATGACAACAATAGTAGGAGAATATCTTGAGCGCAGGACCACACCAGCACACACATTCAAACTACAAACAAATGCGTTATCAGCGCGCAAGGACGGCGCGCGAGACAATCGGCTTACACAGTCTGGTCAACGTAACGCGCTCACCGATACACTGTGTTAGTGTACAGTGTACACTTTTGAATCCGGAGCATACCGCACGTCTGGTTCATACCGCACTGTGTTGACGGCGGTTCTTGTTCTTATGACATTTTCATGCATTCTTATTTATAGGGGCTCGCCATCTCTCGTTCGAACGAGATTGTTGGTAGTTGTTTTCTTCGCGTGAATGAAAATTATTGATTATTGTACTTATTTTTTGTACAGAGCTAAGCTGTCAGTAAAAACTTCAATTCTCAACGGGATTACATATTACTGAACACTAACCATTCTTGTTGAAACTATACTCGAAACTATTACTTTTTCTTACTACCACATCACTAATTTCGAGTTTGTTATTACATAGGTAAGCTTTTATATGTTAAACCTGCTATTATTTATTTTCCATTTTTATTACATTTAATGTACCTCTTATTTTTTTATTTATCCTTGCAAATGTATAATATGTTGTCATTCTAATAGGAATATGTTACCTATTCAAGATACGGTATGCAATCTTCATTATGTATTATGAAAATGTTAGCTTGTTTTTGTAATTAGGTGGCAAACATTGATTTATAAATAATTTTTATTTAATTTTCTCTTACTTATTATATTAACTATCTTCTTTATTACATTTTATATTATTACGAATATTATAACTTGCAAATATGTTGATAATAAATTGTATGTGTCTTAAATAATTATTTGATTAAAAATGTAAAATAAAGTTACTGTTTTCAAAATTATAGTTCTTACATGAATTTATAACAAACTAAAACTACTAATATTATGTTATTATGAGTTCATCAATAGTTATATATATATATATTAAATGTACAGATTAAATTTAGTTTTAAATATTAAATCAATGTATTTTTTTGTTTAAGATACAAGTATCCTGATTAAAATGCCTAAAAAAAGAATAAATACTAATGATAAACCAATACAAAGGCCACAAAGAAATATGGTAATTGTTGATTTAATTTAATTAATTTAATATTTATAAATAGTTATTTTTGATAAAATATTTTGTTACAGAAAGCCAAAAAAGTATTTGATCCATCTGATAATTATTTACCGAAAAAAAGAAATAAATATTCATCAAGTAAACCAGTAAATTTTATTAAATCTAATAATGTAAAAAACCGTAATAAAAAAAAAAAACAGAAAGCTATAGACAAAAATAGTTTAAAAAATGATTTATCCGAATGTTCAGCTGAAGAGAGCATTCCTGAAAGTGAACATTCTTATTCACCATCAAATCCTCCAATTTCACCTACTGAAATAACTCAAAAAAAAATGGCAGATGATTGTTTTATGTGCAATACCATTGGTGACATAAACGATATTATTGACTGTCCAATATGTTTAATTAAAGGTAATAATACTTATAATATGATTGTCAAAAAGTAAGATTAAAAAAAATCATATTTAATTATTTTCTATTTTTAATGGTATGAATGAAATGTAGAAAAGTGAAATAACTTTTTCATTAAATAAAAAAATTTTTCCTGAAAATTGTTTCATTTTAACTTTTTTAATGTTTGAAAAGGTCATTAAAACTACTCTTATTTTCACTATTTGTAATTTATTATTCTTTTCATGTTCTTGTGTTTCTATTATCTAATTTATAATATATTGAAAAAATTCTCAAAAATAATACACAAACATTTTAAGGTATAAAATGTATAAACTCATATTAAACCATGAGTTGTCAGTATATAGTAACTCATAGGGTATAGTATTTATGGGCTGCCTCTATGTTGTACTCTGGGTATTTTACCATTATCTTGATTGCCACTTATCATTTTTGTTTTATATAATACATAATATTTAAAAAAATGTTTAATCATATTGATCACCTAATGATTTTTAATAACAAAAGAATACCGTAAACAATGTTAAGTTACAAAGTTGATTATACAAATCCTTTAATAAATTTATTATTCATTATTTTGTCAAATTTTCCTTGACTAAGCTTGATTAGTTAGTTCTGTCTTGCAGATATCCTCAACCTAATCTACAATACTCACTTGTGTCATTGCTGTGCAGCTATTAGAATCTTAATAAAAAAAACTTATTAGAACAATTTATGTGTATTTTACAGTTCATAAAGACTGTTTAGTTATTAAAGAGCCTATGTGGAAGTTTAAGCTTGATTTATGTCCCTGGCTCTGTGAATCTTGCAGACAATTTCATTGTTGCCAATGTCTTAAAAGTGAAACGGACTCGGTTAGTTAAAAAATTATAATATTTATTAATTGGTGAAAAATGGTGATATTATACTTTTTTTTCAGGAATTTTTGAGTTGCATAACTTGTAAAGTTGGTTTACATTCTAATTGCATTGAATCATGTAGGATTAAACCATTAGAAACTATAAGAAATCTTGGCATATTTGTGTGTATACCTTGTTTAACATTGGCCACAGACAGATTACCAGAAGAAGAAGAAGAAGAAGAAGAAGAAGAAAGATGGCATGAAATAGAAATGGAAGAAATAGATGAAAAAGCCGTGGAAGAAGAAGAGGAAGAAGAAAATGAAAGAGTCCTGGATGAAAGTGACGAAGAGAAGTTTGAAAAAGAAGAAGTAGAAGAAGAAAGTGAAGAAGAAATAGGTAATATAATGATGATTGATTATTTATTGCTGTTTATAACTAATTAATTATCTATTTATTCAGAATTTGTTAATACATCATCAGACGAAAATAATATGGAAGATAATGATAACAACAGTATTAATTCAGATAAATCTTATAATTCATCTATTGACTATGAAAAAGAGTTTACTGAAGTTCCAAATGTAAACATTCCAAATGTAACTAGGTGGAATAAATACCAAGTATATGAATATTTAGCAGATCGTTTACCTAAAGAAGTACTTGTTAAAATAATAACAAATGTATGATATTATTAATTATATTATTTTTATGTAGATATAATCAATGGTATTTTCAGCAATTATTGTCTTTTCCAGAACAGTAGTTTCTAATTTAAATATGCCACTGAATGTAGTATTTACTTAGCTACTTTATATAGTATACATTTTATATACCATTCAATTATTCATTAGTTATGAATTTATATTTTTATTCTATTATATCTTATATTTCATTATTTTAGGAAATTGATGGCCGTGCTTTACAATTACTTCGACGATCAGATATCACGTTACATATGGGTTTGAAACTTGGACACGCCATGAAATTATACAAACAAGTTCGAATTTTACAAACACAAAGTACATACCATAAAACTTATTGGGAATAATTATTTCACTAATCATCAAATAAAATAAAGTATGTGTTAATGATTTTTTTTTTTTTTATAAAATGTAATTATTTATTTTAAATACAATTGTTTTGATATTTAAATTTAATATTGAAACATAAATTATGTTAAACTCTTGACAATGATCTCATGGTGAGATTTTTAGATAATTTCGGTAAAATTATTTTTAGTATAAAATATTAAATTTATTGTTCTTTACACTACTGATTTTATTATTTGATAATTTTATAAAAATTCAAGTTCATTTCAGTATATAATGGCCAGAAAAATTTTTTGGGTGTAATTAATGAGTAAGAAATCATTTTTTTTATGTACATGCCTACACTAATTATGTTCTTTTTATGATTGCGTGCTTTTCTGAATTTGAATTGTAGTTCATTCAGTCTTTGTCTAAATTCAGCCCTGAGTAGAAAGAAATTATTAGCCACCTCACAAATAAGTTATGTATATAGACCATCAAAATGTCCAATTGTTAAATACTTATAAATGTATTATTTATAATATATTCATTATTAAACTGTAGCTTTATTATTTTAAAATAAGTATTAATAAAAAAAAAAAGTTTTAATCTGTAGCTTAAAACAGTAATTAATGCAGTGTGTAAGTAAATTGTTTAACTTTTATACATATATGTATAAAAAGTACTTTTATTGCAAATTTACTTGGTAATCTTATTAATATTAAAAATAATTATGTATTCAGAATATTGAAATCTTATAATAACTAATGTAAACTACACATTAATCACAATTTTAAAATAAAGATTTTCTTTTAAATATATAATTTTTTTTTTTTAAGTTCCTATTCATTCCAGATGTTAGATATTATATTGACAATGTCATTCCTGTCAAGTAATGCCTGAAATAAATCTATTGATTTTGTATTGTACCAGTCACGGACATTCTTCATTTCAGATATTTGTCTTCTTCCGACATTTCTTTTTCTTTCTATCTTTCCTTGTAATATAAGCTGGACTGTATTGTATCGATGATTATTTCTCATAATGTATCCAATGTATTCAAGCTTTCAAGCTTTTATTGTAGTTAATAGTTTCTTCTATAAATATATAATACACTCATATTATTAAGTTATATACAATATAGATTTTTATTGTAATAGGAATTAACAATCTCCAAATAAAAAAAAAGTTATATATAAAATGTATGAGTATTGGTACACCACTGTATATTTAACACATAAATCTCAATTATGTGGTTCTATGAACGTTTTTTTAAAAATTATTTTTGTTGCATGAACTGAGGGTCTATTTTATATTCTATACAAACCAATTCCATGCTTACTAATGTGCCTATTGATGTGTCCATTACAATCTATCTATTTTCGTCGCAACGTGTGTTCATTAATTATAATTTTAATAAAATGTAGCCGAAGAAAAATATAACTTTTGAAAATATAAATGGATAAATTCTTATTATTTTAAAAAATCCTTAAACTTTTTTTTTTTCGTGCATAGTTAAGGATTTTTAATGCATATTTGATCAAATGCACCATCGGTAGGATTTATGAAGCTTTTAAAATTGATGACCTGGAACATCTGACTGCCACTGGACTTTCTGTTCTCGAGTACTTGAAAGGACCGCCTAGAGAACAAGACGTGATCGACTGCGCTTCTGAGTGGATTTACGCATCATCGATTTACGATCTTGCATCAAAAATGTTTTTAGTAAAAACTGATATGCCCCAGTGTTCTTGATATTCGACTATTCTATATTTCACCGGAAGGCACTGGGAGGAACTAGATGGCGAACGACTACGGTTAAGTCTACAGGTAGAATTCTCACCGTCAGAGTTGTTAGTGGTCCAAATCCGTGATGCCCGGTCGACCAATCCAGGTAACCAGGTTGCTCACTGCTGTCGAGGTGGCTCGCAATTATTCGTCTTCCCACCAGTAATGGATAGAGTGACGGAGGCCTGGTCAACCAGGTTCCGCTACATTGGAACCGGTGTTGACACCGGAACCACCCACTCCTGCCGACCACTAGGGTTCCGAAGCCTCTGAAGTGGTAACAATACTCGACTGATAGTAACTCATATTGTGGTTTTTCAAGTGATTTCCTCCACTACATTTTAACCCTACAGCCAGGCAGTGGTGTAACTGAGAATGTTTGATGGGAGGGGATCAAAATCAATTTGTAGGGTAAACTTGTGGGGGCCTTTGCCCCCACGGCCCACACACCCCTTATTTATATTTTGTATAATTTAATAACTCAACACATGTAATGTATTTTATTAAGCACAAGTACACAGCTATTATAATTACTAACCTCGGACATACTGTTTATTATTTACCTAATTGATTTGTTTTTGTGATAATTCATCTTTATAATGATTACAAAAAGTTTAATGTCGCAATGAAAAGCATAAATACTTATATTATTTTTTTAAATTTAAATGAATTGTAATTAACTTAATTTATATTATTATGTTTGATCGACTGTTGTGATTAAGTTTATAGAAATTTATCGCAGCCAAGAATGCCTATGAGATACAAGCAACAAAAATG